ACATTCTCTACTTAGCTGGATCAGGTCTCAACAGACAAAGGTGGATGATTCCAGCAGTGGAGTGAGATCCACTGAAGGGCTGTTCTTAAGGGAATTGGGGTCGTTTCCCCCTGTTTTTCAAAGCCAGACACTCTCCCCTAGCGTCTCTCCCTCTCATTGGAAATCTAGGCAGTAAATGAATAAAAATAATAAAACTCATTCTCCTCTGTTATGCTGTTTCTAATCTGTATGTACACAGAAGACTTCAGGATAGAGATGGCATGTTCCCCAAAAGCTACATTTTAAACTTTAGTGGATATTTCATAATATAACTTTTTGTTGTGCCACTATGAAACTGATGCCCAGTCCAAAAATGTAATGATTGTAAGGCTCAATTGTACACCAAGTGGTTGTACTCTTTTTATTATAATCTGATTAAATGCTTCTCTTCAGTAACATTTTGCAATCACTATAGATCAAATCCTGGGACCAAAGCCATCAACACAACTAGCTTTGGTTTGCTAGGATGGAAGAAAATGGCAAATTCAGGTACAGGTAAATTGTGTATAAGCATTGTATGTTATGTAAACCTGCTAACCCTTCCTCACATGACTTCAATGGAACTACTCATGTGAGTAAGGGTTTGCAGGAAATCCGGGGTGTGTGGTCACTGGCATGCCTAATAATGGTTCACTAAATGTATCAAGCATGGGAAGTGGATGACCATTCTGCATGTCAATGCTTAGCATAATGGGGCCCTTCTCCTTTAGCAAAGTCCCTAGGCATTACTATAACTACAAAGAATGACATTGTTTGTCTCAGATTGATCACAGTATTATTGCTTTTATTGAATTTAATGAAATCTTCTCACATTCCTTAGTGGTAAAGACATCATCTCCATTATGTAAAATATTTAGTTTAAAACTAAGCTGGATTAAGCACTAGAAGGTATAATGAAGGAAACAATCTGGACTAGCTAATCTAATATGACATTTTCAGCTCTAATTTCTACTATAATTTGGTGTTCATATCTATGGTATTTATCACTGATCTTCAAAGACTGAAAGTAGTATCCACAAGATATATGGTAGTATCCACAAGATATATGATATTCATAAAATATGCCCAGTATTCCACCTTTAGACAAGAGCTTGCAGATAAAAAGATGCGTATGGCCCACTTGTAGTCAAACTACATTCCTCTTTCATGATCTTTGAACTCAGGTACTCAAGAAAACCAAATATACCTTTTGAAGTATTGGAGGTTTTACACCACATTCACCCTCATGGTATCCAAATGCCTCACAAATAGCTCAATGCAACATCAGTTTTAAGTGGAGGCTGCTAGATAGCTTCTCAAATGCATTGGTTTAGTATTGTGCAAATGCAGATCTGAGTAAGCAAATAGTTACGATTCAGATCTTTTGAGAACCCTTTACCCCTGTCTTAATGTAAACAGAAGGAAATCATTTGAGAGTGCACATCCTTACTATAGATGTTTAAGAACTGAACTTACCAACCCAGCCACATCTGCAACCACAAAACAATGCCAAATACTGTTTGTGGGGCAACAAATTCCATGAATGGCCTCAAGCTTGGGGTCACACTTGTGCCATTTCAAAATATTACAGTAGCTAACCTACCTGGCAAGCCTCTAGATATCTTTGAGTTACCAATTGTCTGGATTTTTTCTCAGCAGCGATATAACAAAGAACCAATCTTTACAATCAAAATTGTTATTAGAACACTAGCAATTGCACTGTATATGTCAGGAGTTGGCAACGTTGGGCATGTGGTCCATCAGGGTAATCTGCTGGTGTGCCATGAGACATTTTGTTTACATTGACCGTCCACAGGCATGGCCCTCTGCAGCTCCCAGTGGCCACGGTTCGCCGTTCCCAGCCAAGGGGAGCTGCGGGAAGCAGCGTGGGCTGCAGGGACGTGCTGGCCGCCGCTTCCCGCAGCTCCCATTGGCTGGGAACGGCGAACTGCAGCCACTGGGAACTGCGGGGGGCTGTGCCTGCGGATGGTCAACGTAAACAAAGCGTCTTGCAGTCCACCAGCGGATTACCCTGATGGGCCACGTGCCGAAGGTTGCCGACCCGTGGTATATGTACTGTACTGATTATTAGTCTTGAGAGGCTGGGGCACTAAGCAATCCTGTACTCACACCCTATGTGTTATTGTAATAATTGTGGACAAAATATGCCTTGGGAGGTATCATTTGAAAACTAATAACTCACTGATCATTAATATTCTTGGATGATGTGTATATGCTGGAAGTATGACTATAATGTGTGTAAAACAGGTATATCAGAGGGAGTTGTTAAACATGTCCATCTTTGACAAAGTAATGTAGATTTGATTCTCTGACCAGCCTGATATTCAGGCAAAGACAATGAAGGTCCATATTTACATATAAAGCAGAAACAAGACCATCGAGACAGCGGGGGGAGATTGCTGAAATGCAAATTGTTCTGTTTCCTGCCAACTCAAGTGGGGGAAGAAAGAGCATGGAGCTTCCTTCACCACCAGACTCCATGTTGCCATCCTCACAGCTTGAATAAACTTTACTTTGGAGGGTAACCCTCAGAAGAATCCATTCCATGGTTTACTGGTCTATAAAGACAGGGGGGGCTGAACCTCAAGTGATAAGCAACTGAATCAACGGATTGTATACAATATTATGGTATTATAAGAGTACATAGTGTGAGGTTTTCTGAAAGCTAATGACACACTGGTGATCAATATCATTGTGCAATGTATGGTATTAACATAATGTAAGAGTTATGGATATTCACTGATATTAGGCTGTACAGTCGGCCGAGATACAAGGGAGTTTCACAGCCATCTACCTGTCTCCTATGTAAATTAAGCACGGTGGAATCAGAAACAATGGAAGCCCCATTTATATTGAAATCACACAGGGCAGGAAACCAATAGGCAGAGAAGAACAGCATGAGGTCATCCTGCCTCGCGAAATAAAGTCATTGAACTTTGTAAGATATAAGCAAGGACAGAAGCCATCTTTGGCATCCATCACTAGACAGACACAAGAGGCCAGACACTTGTAAGTTGAGAAAGATGGGTCCTTCCTCCAAGGGGGAAAGAGAGGGTTAAGTCTTTGGAACTGAATATAGGTGAGAAACCTGCTTAGATAAAGATCTTTCACCTAAGGAGACAAGGGAAGCCAGCACCTTGTACTTTTGTGGAAGGTTCTGACTGAAAGTCAGCCATGACTGGGAGGAAGGGCTGGTGAGAGAAGCCATCTTGAACAAGGCCTGTACCTTGCTAAATTAAGTTTTAGATTTTTAGATGCGTGTTTTCATTTGTTTGTTTGTAACCTGTTCTAACTTTATTCCTTATACTTGAATTCACTATATCCAATGTATATTTTGTTAATAAATTTAGTTCATTTATAAACCAACTTAGTGCTGTGTTTAAAAGGTAGGGTGTGCTCAGACCAGTTAAATTAATATGCTGTGATGTGTTCTTGTGTCTGTAGAGGAACAAATGAACCATATTATTTCTCTTAACTGCCCAGAAGAGGGCTGGACATTGTAGAGCACACAGTTTTGGGAAAATAGGGGATTGGAAGTGTATTGGGGCCACCCTGCAAGTAGTAACCCAGGCTGGTGGAAGCCAGAGTGGGGCTGTAAACAGGCTGCTGGGGTCAGAGCTGATGAACTCCGCCTCCACTCAGGTGTGATCTGCATGCTTGTAGGCTGGTTGTGAGCATCCCAGGCTGGGAGCTAGAGCAGTAAGGCATTGTAAGGCACCTATGGATGCAGGGCAAGTGGTGTCACAACCCCTCACTGGTCTGGAATTGCATCCCAGAACTTGAAAGTGGCCCATGCACATAATATGAATATGAAGAGAAAAATATCTTCAGTATTTAACGAGACTCAAGTGAAGATCACTACGGTGAAACTTGCCTTGTTTACAGTATTGTTTGCTACACAACAAATCTGGAAAGTGGGTTTAGATTTGCATGCATTTTAGAAGAACTTTCAGTTTTGCAATATTGAATTTTTCCCTCAAACAGAAATTGATCCAGTGAAATCATGACCCTGCAGATTTTGCTTCATTAGTATGCCAGGAGGCAAAATAAACTGTTTTATAATCTTAGCTAAAGAGCCATATGATTGCTTAGGCTGTTACTTCTGGGAAGACAAAGTATACAGATTACTAGGTCCAGGACCTAATGGAATGGATGTGTGTGTGTTCAGATGCAGCAGCTGTATCAGTCTATACATCAAAATCCTTACCCTTCACACTAGAGAGAAGTGCCGGAGTTGATATATTGGCAAATTCTGCAGATCTTTTTCTTTTTTTCAGGTAATCTCTTATCCAGTGTAAGGCTTCCTTAACCTTCTATCTATTGGACCACGTCCGATCAAGAACCACAATCTAGGATCTGGCCAGCACATCTAGTGAGGGCTTAATCAGATCTTAAAAAGGTTGCTCTTCATCTTTCTTAGAAAGAATGACTCCTGCTTGAGGGCATAAAGCTGTCTTTCCAGCAAGGTTGTGTTGTGTTTCCCTGTGCCAAAACTGGCTCATGGCAGAATCCTCTTGATGATCAGCACCCTGGTGGTAGAGTACTAGAATGTGTGGGTTTTCCATCATCTTCTGAAGCTTTTTGATATTACCCACTGCTGGAATGCGAGTTAGACAGATAACTGAGGTGTTCCAGTCTCGTGAGTCTCATATTCCTATTTTCTTATGAATGTGCTCTGAGATTTTTCTGTAAAGTTCTAGAACTATAACTTGTGTTTAACCAGAGAGAGAAATATATCCCTAAACTGAAGGTGATGAATTCATTTACATACATTCTTTGTAAAGAGAGACAATACTGAGCTGTTAAAATGGGTAGAATGGACTTTTATTTTCATTCATTCTTCAATAATACCACACAATTAGAAAGCAACATCTGAAAAAAAAAATCTTGAAATAATTTAAACAGAAGGCACAGAAGAATAAACCCGATAAACTAACCACAAGATCATAAGAGACCCCCCCCCCAAAAAAACACATTAGTTTAAGAGAGGGAGCCCCTTCAGAACAAGTTTCTGTCACAAGACATTGTGATCAAAAGCTATTGCCCAGTGGAACAAAATATATAGCACAACTTAAGCTTAACCATGCTTTCATGATACAAGAGAAAAAAAGGGCAAAAGTTTGATTTTTGCTCAGATTTTGAGTATGATGTCACTTCAAATGAAATATTTTAAATCCAACACACCGGTCACTATATTTTGTAAATGCTATGCAAAGACGTAGTTGGCAAAACTTTGCATTAAAAACAAAATATACAGTTAAACTATTTTTGGATGGGAGGAAACTTGTTCTCATCTCAGCTAGGGATATCAAAGAAATGTAGCCTCTGACTGCTTCAAAAACAAATATTTTCTATACAGTAATATACTGCATGGGCGATTGATTTGTGTCCTGATAGTGTGAAAGCAAACAAACATCAGACACCACAGAGAGGAATAAAACTACTTCATTCATAAGAGCTTTTACATTTTTTGCAAGAGATGGTAGCTTTATTTTTTAAACAAAGCTACTGGAATCAGTGACATGCGATAATATGCCCCAATAGTATAGCTGCTAAGTCTGAAAATAAAGTTCATGCTTCACAATTGAAATATGCAGTGATTATGAAATACATTCGCTGATAATTAATACCATCATTATTACAACAGAGAGGTCATTCATAAATTAGTTCAGATTCTGAACTTGGTTTCTAAATGGAACGCTTTTTCAAGTATGCAGAACATTAACAATGTACAGATTTTGCTCCAGATCAGCACATTAGTTGGTGTTCTTTTACAAAAGGACGCTTATCCTGCAAACGTTATGGACAAAGCAAAACCTGCAAGTGATAGGTTTGCTTTAAAAATGCTAAACATAATTAAAAGTTAGAAAATATTATAGTTGTCAACAATCGAGTGGCAAGTGTTTGCCAAAGAAAAATGATTTCTCAAATACAAGACAGATCTTTTCAACATTTTATACGAAGGCATTGTCAGCAAGTAATAGAATAAGTAAAACTTTGCAGCTCCCTTTGCACTTGGAGTCCAGCCTCCTTACTTTTAAACGGTAATGTACACTGTCATAAACAGCTTTCTTCTTTTTTATTTTAAATACCTCTCTGATTTACAGGTTGAGTCACAATAATGTTTCTACATAAGAATAAAAAGAGCTACTGACAATCACAATATAAACTGTAAAAATGGTTTTAGTAAAAATGTTCATCAAAATTTTCTGACATAGCAAAACATTCATTTGGAAAGTAAACTCTAATACAGCAGGCCGTTCGATCAAAGGTGACCCAGGCATATTTATTGTTGCCAGCATTCTGACTGATTACTTCCATATTCCTTTGCATTATAGGATACAAACTTTGTAATATATTAAATCGTTTTCTAGCAAAGAGTCCGATTATTGCACTTTATAAAAATTCCAGTAATATCAGGCTTTTGTCCTACTCTTTTGTGAACACTGATGACCTGCAACAAAAACCATGGGACCAAACACTTTCTTATGAGTAAGACAGATCCTTGAATGGTTTTAACATACTGGAACAAAATGAAAATATTTACAAAAAATGAAAAATGCATTCCTTTTTATACCAATTTTGATTCACGGCAGCAACGAGTAGAACTTTAATTGCATTACTGACATGAACCTTCTCTCAAGGAGGAGAGAGTACATAGCTTACCATTTTACATTTCAATTTGGAAAAATATTAAGAGAAACTAGAAATACCACAGAATTCTTCTGCTGACTGTCAGACTATTACTGTCTGGGAAGGCTTAATGACAATAACATCTTAACGTGCATGTGCCAGCTCTTAAACAATGAGCACAACAAATTCGGTAGATATGGCTGTTTCAAGATGGCAACATACGTACAGTAAAGAGGTTGAGAATCCCCCCCTTTAAAAAAATGAATGTAGCAGTTTTTGGCCCTGCTTATTACCAGCTGTATCAGTAGAAAAAAAATGGAGGCTTTATACCAGCCACGTAGAAAATCATCTGCTTGAACCAAAGCGGTTTTACAAATCTATATGAGGCTTCCAGGCCAGCAAACAACAGTCAAAGTTACTTTGTTCCTCTGCTCCTTCAGCATAGGAACTAGTGAGGAATGGCTCATGCCCACTGTGGATAGTCCATTTACAGCGACAATCATGTCACCACACCTAAAAAAGGAAACAAAATGGAAAGCAGCTGATGAACAATGGTGCACAACAACTCTAACACAACAATGAGTAACAGATGGCATTTCACAGTTAGGGCCTCAGGTTTCTATTGGACTTGGAGTTCAGCTGCAAGAGCTAAAAGCATTCAATTAAAAAAATGAAGTCTGACCTCCCATTGTAATTAGTACGGGGAATTCTTGAACCCCTGGGGTTCAACTCTGGCGTAATTCCAACACTAGCTTTAAGAGTTTGCCTGTGGAAAGATACCAGGATTGATGCAAGAGTGGGAGAGGGAGAGAGAAAAAGTCATCATTTACCAGGGTTAAGTAGGGGATAATAAAAACATATATAGACAGACTTACAATATACATGTTTATATGATAAAAACATATACATGTTTATAGGGTTATAACACACATTTACATATAATATGCATTTATTGTAGCTGGCAAAAGCAGTGACACCTATAGTTAAAATTGCTCAACACTTTCCAACATAAGACCCTGTTTTCAGTTGCTTATAACTTTACCAAACTTAACCATTCAAGATAAAGTTTCCTATGCCAGATGTCTGCCTCAGGGTGTGTGTATAGCTTGAATGGCTAAGTCTGGTAAAGTTACACACACACACACACACACACACACACACACACACTCTCTCTCTCTCTCTCTCTGCGGCAGATACCTGGCATGGGAAACTTTAGCTTGAATGGTTAAGTCTGGTAAAGTGTCCATATAGGAAAGTTTCAACTAAATGGCTCAACTATTTCCAAAAATGAGGTTAAGGGAAAATACGTTGTTTTGCCCATGTTAAAAAAATTCCTACAACCATTTCATTGAGATCTACTGTCCCCATGCTTTGGAGCAGAGATTTAAAATTAGGCAGGGAAAGCACCTTTTGCCATCCATGTGAAAATTTGCCCAAATTTGGTCAAGTTATAAACATCTGACAAATCTCAGTTTGTACATGCTTGATAGACACTTGTTTGAGTTTACCAGCTACATTCTCTTTAGATTCTTTCTGCACTCAGCATGCTCTATCTCAGCGGTTCTCAAAACTGTGGGTTGGGACCCCCCAAAGTGGGTTGCAACCCCATTAAAAAGCCAGTCCCAAGGCTGGCTTAGAGTTGTTGGGGCCTGGAGCCGAAGACCGAGCCCCACTGCCCGGGGCCGAAGTCCAAGGACTTCAACCCTGGGCGGCAGGGCTAGGTTACAGGCCTCTATCCCCACACTGCTCCTATCTGTGACTTGACAGTATATGTTCTATTCCCACAGGGCTACTGAGCATGCTCCAGCACTGCATTGCAGGGGATGAGGAGTAATTTCCCTGCAATTGCATCTCCTGACTGCGGGGGACACCAGAATTCTGTCTTTTATTCTCAATATTCCTTTTGTTCCTATATAGGCAGGGTAGGAGGAAGCAGCCTGACTCAGAGTGGTGAGGAGCAGAGTGAGGGGGGAGAACATTTCCTAACTTTTAAGGTTACAAAGTCAAGAACTCAATTCTCTTTTAATATAGTTGTTTTAAATGTAATTGTATATTAAAATAAAAATAGTAATGTATAGGACCATAAAACAAAAAAATACAGTATGCTTAAGAGCCTGAGAATGTTATTTTATTTGATATTTAAGGGCCTTTAAAAATTGTTAGGATCCTGGTATACAGTCATAATGTATATGAGCAGGGAAACCCCATTCTTAGGAATAAGGCATGCAAAATTATAAAACCAATTTTCTTCTTAAGCCACTTTGTAACGAAATAGAAATACAGAGATTATTGCGTAGTAAACCTCCAAGAGTCATACAGAGCTCCCAAAACCACAGAGTATCACTCTTAGCAGCTTAGCTATTGCTATGATCTGAGTCATAAGATGGCCTCTAGTCACTGCCATGTCATTGGAAACATGCATTAAGCTGTTCTGAAAATAGATTAAGCCTTCCTTAATTTGTAATCATCATGATTCAGATCTACCCTGTATGTAAAACAAATATGGTACAATCTTCTACTCATATTATCAAACCTTCGTGATGTTCAATTTACAAACGAGGGAATCTTTAATAGGCATTTCAAATCCTGCATCTGGAGGGACCCTAAATTCAGCCAAAACAAACACCCTAAATGCCATATTTGGGGATCCTATTAAATTGGACCCTGCATGTTGATTGCCTCTCACAGTGATCTTGACTAGATACTGCTCTAGCCTCTTCTCCACCTGCTTCCCCACACCTCTATTATAAAATGAAGCTCCTCTAGCTTTCGTAATCCTCCTCAAAGTAGGCAGAGAGCATTATACAACATGCTCACTTCCCGGCTCCAAATCCTGGGCAAGATATTTCCTCCCAGGCTGGGTCTTGGCCTAATGGAGGAGTCAAGGAATCAGTAGAGGTGATGGGGGAGATGGGTCAAATCAGCACTACTGCCTGATGGTGAAACGTGTTTCCAAAGAAAGGTGGGGGAAGGAAGAATGACTGGGACTAGATGCTCCCACAAGTTCTGACTGATCCCACTTCCCCCAGCCAAAAATCCTTCTGACTTCTCAGCACTGCACCTAGTAGACTTGCCAAGCTGCTATAGGGAGTTGGCCAGCTCCCAAGAAACACTGGATATCAGTCAGTGGCCCAAGGGTTATATGTAATGTAACAAATCACTTCATGCAATATGCCTTATCATCACTGTCCATCCAACTTCTAATATCATTTAAAAAGATGCGGTAGTACTTACTTTAACCTTCCGTCAAAGTATGCTGGAGTTCCAAGAACAATCGTTTTAATGAAGAAAGGCTGGTTTGTGTGATTCTCCTCATATCCACCAACGATGCTAAAGCCCCAACTTCCTAAATTGCTCCTCCGTAGCACTACATCATGGCAGCTATGTAGGCCGCTGTGGGGTGAGGAGAAAAACACATGCCATGTAAATATTTTCACGTTATGTGCAACACTTGCTCTATCGCATCACTGCAATAAGCACGAAAGAGAAGGGGTAACGGTGGGTAAAGGATGGTAATTAACAGTGTTCCCAGGATGAATCATCTTGTAATATTTAACCATCTTTACTACTGTGTGCTTAAAATTACAAAAAAAATTCTGGAGGTAAAAAAGTATTAAACATAAAGAATGTACTGTTGGAATTATTGCTTAAATACAGTTACATCTAGAAAGTGACACTTCTAAAATGATGTTGTGGGGTTTTATATTTATCCTCCCCCCCACACCCCATCAGCTTCCATATCCAATGTTTTATTTGCAAAACGAAAGATGATTTTTCTGTCAGTTTAGGATTTTCCATCTTGAATTTAGGATCTGAAAATCCATCTGTCTTCTTTCTGCCTCTTCCTGATTCATCACTACCAGTAATTAAAATTTTGCAATCAGATGACGCAAAAGGCAGAGTATAAATAATTCAGATTGCATTTGAGTAGCCGTATTGGCTTTGAAATACCTACAATAGTGAAACAAGTAGTATAAAACAGGAGATATGACTGAAAAATGCACAAAGAGAAAATCTGTTGGGTAAAAATGTGCCATATTATTTATTTATTTATATATATGTATATATTAGGGCTGTCAAGCGATTAAAAAAATTTATCACAATTAATTGCGTGATTAAAAAAAGTAATTGTGATTAATCATAATAGAATATCATTTATTAAAATATTTTTGGATGTTTTCTACATTTTCAAATATATTGATTTCAGTTACACCACAGAAAACAAAGTGTACAGTGCTCCCTTTATTTATTACAAATATTTGCACTGTAAAAAACAAAAGAAAAAGTATTTTTCAATTCCCCCATAAGAAGTAATGTAGTGCAATCTCTTTATATGAAAGTTGAACTTACAAATGTAGAATTATGTAAAAAAAACAAACAAACCCTGCATTCAAAAATAAAAGAATATAAAACTTTAGAGCCTACAAGTCCACTCAGTCCTACTTCTTGTTCAGCCAATCGCTCAAACAAATTTGTTTACATTTGCAGGAGATGATGACGCCCGCTTCTTATTTACAATGTCACCTGAAAGTGAGAACAGACATTCACATGGCACTGTTGTAGCTGGTGTCGCAAGATATTTATGTGCCAGATGCGCTAAACATTCATATGTCCCTTCATGCTTCAACCACCATTCCAGAAGACATGTGTCCATGCTGATGATGGGTTCTGCTCGATAACAATCCAAAGCAGTGCAGACCGACGCAAGTTCATTTTTATCATCTGAATCAGATGCCACCAGCAGAAGGTTGATTTTCTTTTTTGGTGGTTCGGGTTCTGTAGTTTCCACATCTGAATGTTGTTCTTTTAAGACTTCTAAAAGCATGCTCCACGCCTCATCCCTCTCAGATTTTGGAAGGCACTTCAGATTCTTAAATCTTGGGTCGAGTGCTGTAGCTACCTTTAGAAATCTCACACTGGTACCTTATTTGCATTTTGTGAAATCTGCAATGACAGTGTTCTTAAAACAAACAACATGTGCTGGGTCATCATCCAAGACTGCTATAACATGAAATATATGGCAGAATGCGTGTAAAACGGAGCAGGAGACTTACAAAACTCCCCAAGGAGTTCAGTCACAAATTTAATTAACACATTTTTTAACAAGCATCATCAGCATGGAAGCATGTCCTCTGGAATGGTGGCCGAAGCATGAAGGGGCATACGAATGTTTAGCATATCTGGCACGTAAATACCTTGCAATGACGGCTATAAAAGTGCCATGTGAATGCCTGTTCTCACTTTCAGGTGACACTGTAAATAAGAAGCGGGCAGCATTATCTTCTGTACATGTAAACAAACTTGTTTGTCTTAGCAATTGGCTGAACAAGAAGTAGGACTGAGTGGACTTGTAGGCTCTAAAGTTTTACATTGTTTTGTTTTTGAGTGCAGTTATATTAAAAAAAAAAAATCTACATTTGTAAGTTGCACTTTCACGATAAAGAGATTGCACTACAGTATTTGTATGAGGCGAACTGAAAAATACTATTTCTTTTGTTTATCATTTTCACAGTGCAAATATTTGCAATAAAAAAATAATATAAAGTGAGCACTGTACACTTTATATTCTGTGTTGTTGTTGAAATCAATATATTTGAAAATGTAGAAAAATATCCAAAATATTTAATACATTTCAATTGGTATTCTATTGTTTAATAGTGCAACTAAAACTGCGATTAATCATGATTAATTTTTTAAATTGTGATTTTTTTTGAGTCAATCGCATGAGTTAACTGCAATTAATCGATAGCCCTAACACACACACACACACATATTTTATATATATATATATATATATATATATAAATATAATATGAGAGTCACTTTCCTGACTATCACCACACTTTTAAAAGTGGTAATGCATATGCAAAAGTGTTGAATTAAAGAATATTTTTCTTTTCACAGAAAATCTTTATTCAAATCCAGAGAAGCAGAAAATGTTGAGGTATGCCTAACCATTGCTTCTCTACATTAATCATGTTGTGCCATGCATTGTAGCATATAAGACATAATTAGCAGCAAAATATGGTTGTTTGTAGTATGTGAGCAATAAATGACTGCCAGCTCTTGTTAAGCAGAGTTATTTATCAGACTTGAAAGCAGTTTACTATAGCTGTATAACTCACAAGACATTATGACTGTTTTACAGGAAGTTACATACAGACATCTTGTACAGAAAAAATTAGAGGAAATCAATGAGGGCCTGATCCTGAAAGCCCTTTTTACCAAGGGAAGTGGCTTGTTACTGTGTGTAGTTATAATCACTTTAGATTTATATTATGGTTTCAATGCTGACTGTCAGATTTGGTTTCTCCCATGGTTAGTTGCAATGGGAGATTAACATGGGTCATGATGTGAATGCATCTGATATGACTCCATGTATGGTCACGCTCGAGCCATGCACACAAAACTGATACTGAACTCAAATCAATCCTGTAGGATCATCAGAGGGACTTTGAGAGCGACTCCCACATTGTCGCTATACTGCCTCGCGGGGATTGCATCACCATCAGTGAGGCGGGATGCCTTCAGTAAAAAGGAGACACAAAAACAGGTGCATGTTTCAAGACAGCCACTGAATGGACACATTCCACCACCCAAGAAGCTGAAGTCCAGAAAGAGCTTTGCCTCTAAGTCCCTTACCCCAAAATACCATTGTGGAAGGCTACAGAGTAACAAAATGGCGGGAAATGTCGATGATCTTGGAGAACCTGGTTCTTTCAGAACAACTCCCTCCAGCTACTGACCTCAAATGAAAACAATGGTGTATTCTAACTTGAGTGAGAGCTGAGGTGGCAAAGACTGATGACAATATGACCAAGTGGAAGCCGAGGAATGACTCCAGATGTGAATGTGGAGAGTCTAGGCAAAACACTTGAACCCTACCACAGTGCCCCGTCAACATCCCCTACTCCAGAGGAACTACTCGAGATAAGTGACAACAACGATCTTGGCTGTGGTTTTGGAGCAATCTGCTATGATGATGACTTCAGGATTTCATTCTGTTACCATCACATTCTACATGCTCTCTGTGATTACATCCGCAAACCGTGGGCGTAATCCTGGAAACCCTTACTATTGTGCACAGTGTGATTGAAGTTAACAGGACTATGCACAGTATTAAGCACGATCCTTGATCATAAGTGTTTCCCAGAATTAGGCCCACAGTTTGTCGATATAGCTACCAGAGAGTGAAGAATGGGATGAGAAGTTAAATCTGGTGATATCAGTCAGGCCAAAAGTTAGGAAAAGGAAGTGGGTTTGCTGCGGGTGTATTTGTGTTTGATAGAGTGGTGGCTGGTTTTCTGAATTATATATATGTGTGAGATTTGTGAATGCAGATTGATCTGTTCTAACTTCTTTCTGCATATGTGCCTAAGACCTGTGTGATAAAAGTCAATGATCAGTGGAGGTTATATCCTTCTGGGACAGTGTACCCCATAAGGCTTTATGGGGGGTGCTTATAAATGTATGTATGATATAACTGGAATAGGTTTTTGCTACATATGCCAAGTAACATATCTATGTAAAGGTTATGATCTACTGGTTATGTTCATCCTAGTTGTATGCAGGCACCATTTGTGTGTTCAAAGTTATGAACACTGGCTGTATAATTGCTAAGTAGCCTTAGATTTCTAAGTAGCCTTAGTTAGAACATTTGGTCACTTCTTGGGAAAGGAATGTGCAAATTAGGTGCTAAATCAGGAAGCACTTAACAGACAAAAGAGCTTGGAAGACTCCAATCCACATAAGAAGTCTACCTGAGGAAGTTCAAGGTAGCATGTGGGTAATGGCTACTACCTGCAAGTCCTAAGTCATGCATGGGCATGTGACTTGCCCATGTGATTCCAAATCTCCATTTTGTGACTGGATTCTACACAGGGTGAGGAGGGGGTCTCTACCCACAAGAGAAAGTCTATTTAAACCCCTGGGAGACCCCTCCATTTTGTCTTCAGCTGGGTAAAGAAGGAGCCTCTCCACCCCTCTCCCCCCCCCCAGGATACTTGAAGGAAACTGGAACAAAGGACAGTAACTACAGGGGGTGTGAGTGATTGCTGGACCCAGGCTAAAAGGAGATTAGCCTGTAAAAGGGAGCATTCTGGAACTGGTGAGGATCTTATCTGTATTTAGTTTGATTAGACATAGATTTGCGCATTTTATTTTATTTTGCTTGGTGACTTACTTTGTTCTGTCTGTACTACTTGGAATCACTTAACTCCTACTTTCTGTATTTAATAAAATCACTTTTTACTTATTAATTAACTCCGAGTATGTATTAATACCTGGGGGAGCAAACAACTGTGCATATCTCTATCAGTGTTATAGAGGGCAAACAATTTATGAGTTTTCCCTGCATAAGCTTTATACAGGGTAAAAAGGATTTATTTGGGTTTAGACCCCATTGGGAGTTGGGCATCTGAGTGCTAAAGACAAGCACACTTCTGTGAGCTGTTTTCAGGTAAACCTGCAGCTTTGGGGCAAGTAATTCAGACCCTGGGTCTGTGTTGGAGCAGATGGGAGTATCTGGCTCAGCAAGACAGGTGCTGGAGTCCTGAGCTGTCAGGGAAAACAGGAGCAGGGGTAGTCTTGGTACATTAGGTGGCAGCTCCCAAGGGGGTTTCTGTGATCCAATACGCCACATCTTCATTCTATGAAGTTATTCATTTGCCTTTCTAAACTTTGTTTTTTATATTAATATAGGGTGATTTGGGTAAGCGCTCTATGTTTCCTGTTTAAAACTCGGGCTTAACTTAGGGATGAAAAGGACAGCTTACATTCATTGGGGGAATTGAATTGGTTAGTGTTAGACTTTTCCCAAGGTTTCTGAAGGGATAATCAGTGTTTTCTATCTTCCGGCTAGCTAACAGGATACTTTTGCTGTACAATCCTTTGTAAATTGAATGTGGCTGCAATAGATTGGCAGCAATAGGGTGAAGCAGGTACTGTTCTCTGTTTTAGAGTTTAAATCAGTTTTAACATGATATTAATTAAAACTGCTGCAGCAGCATAAAGTAAATCCCCACTAAAAATGAACTGTTCTTGTATCTGAACGCATGTATAAGAAAGAAACCCTTCAACATATTGCTTCAGCCCTATGTACGTCACACAAATATTTTATAGCAAACTGAAAAATGTCAGGAGAATGACACAGCCAAATACAAGAGTTAATATTATAACAGCAGTGTAAACATGAGTTTAAACAGATCATTCATTAACTAGTACCTGGGAAGCCCCAGCCACATGACCCATGAGGGCGACCAGCTAGCATCATATTCATTTTCGCTGATTGTGCTTGGTTGTTCCTCATTAGTCTGGGTTTGTTCTTCAACAATCTGAACCTCCAATGTTTTGAGTGCCACCACTGAAGAGGTAGCACTGGCTTTGAGCATAGCCACTGCCTCACTATGACTTAGATTGGTCAGGTCAATGCCATTAATATTCAGCAACACATCACCTGTTTAAAAGGCATAAATAAGAGTGTAAGTCATGTGGCCTATTGAATACTTGTTTTCCTGTGCTAATACCTGGCCTGTACTTATAACACATTACTCAGTGTCTGTTCACGTCAATGTGTTATCTCCCTGGGCCTAGACAGTCAGAAACAGTAACTCTCAGAGCTGTGAACTGCAGTGTATTAACTCTACAGCCTCATACGGATAATTTAAACATTATAATGCGTAAACTATTTCACTGCTGCATATCTCAGCAGAAACAGAAACACCATGCTTGGCTAGCGTGCTCTGCTATCATGCAAATCAGAGGTGGAAATGATCTATTAGGTCAGGCACTAATCCTGCCTCAGAATAGAGCTGACCTCTATGGTATATCCTCCAGTGCTCTGTTCAGTCCACATTTAAATGACTTGAACACTGGAGCTTTCACCACTCCCTCTGGAAACTAGTCTCACCATTAGGGATTTTTTGTGTGACTTTTCCAGCTTTGTGTTCCTTTTCTTAATATATCCCATTCCTCATAGTGGTCCCTCAGGGTTTAAAGGGAAGGGGGAAAAGGAATGGCAAAAGGTGTAATGTACCCATGAGGGAGAGGGGAAGTCTTGCAGAAGGTAACACAGCAAGTGGGGCATGAAAAGAGTACTCCCACTTCCTCCCCCACATGCACACTTCAATGCTACTGCATGTCTGTGCTTTGCCAATTGGGAAAGACAAAACAGGGATCACAGGAAAGATTAATAAGGAAAAATCAGCTCTGAGGAAGCAAGAGCATCTGTAAAAAGATTATAATGATCTGGAAAGAGTCAAAAATACAAAGATTGCTGAAAATGATTTTCCTTGAGAATATTTTAAAAGAAGGAGAGAGTCTCTTATTGACTGAGTGGTTACAGTATTGCTGCTGCTGCAGTGCAGAACAAATCAGCAAAATCCAGGACTCAGTTACACAAGATATGAGAATCAATCACTTTCCAGAAACTTGCATAGCAGGGAAGGCTAATTCCTTTTGCAGTTGCAGCTTTAACATCACATAAGGAAGAAAATCACAAGTGTTGCTTCGACAAATGGATTTTTAAATAATGTTTAGAAAAAGATACTGTGCACATTTGTATATTGCATTTAATGTTCCTACCTTACACGGTCATGAAAAATATTCTCCATTACCTCATTTTAAATTTGCACACTTCAGTTACTGTTCAGACTTTGCCCTTATGTCAGAATGGGCCCATAGGATTTCTAAGTCAGTGCAGTATTGCATGGGGTTGCATTACGTATTTATATGATTTAGGCGCATGTACAACATTTTACAAAAAATAAATCAGGAAAATGTCAGGCTGTACCTTAAGCATTATCCCAGCAGGATTACCAACGTCATCCACCCCACACCTGCTCCCACCCCCCAATACCCTACCCGATTCCTTTCTCAAAAGCCGGGGATAACAGATGCCCTGTCCCAAAGATCAGCAAGCTCAGTCTAGGTCTGACAAAGGATGGAGAAAGTGAATTACAGAAAGGACGGTCACTTGCTGAAAATGCCCTGCTATTAGCACAGTTAAACAAGGTGCCTGTGATCAGAATAGATCAGTTTAGCTGGGGTACTGAAGATATTACACAAGGACAGAAGTGGTTTCTCAGACAGCTACAGGGCCCAACCAATGTGACCAAAACCAAAAATAGGATGTGTGTACTGAAGTGAAAAACACTAGACAAGATTCTTAACTCATAGGGGGATTACAGTCAACTTTACACAACCATTTCCCAAGCCAGGGGAAAGAGTGGGATTGTACACTGAATTTCCATAAGTGGAATATTTGAGAGAAGCATTTATCATTGCTACCCTACATCTGTTGAGAAACTTTGATACCTTACAAAACAAATTCATGAACAGAATAATTGAAAGATGCACATGCTGCCATTTGAGTCAAATCCTACCTCGTTTGATCCTGCCATCTCTTGCAAGACAGCCATGAGGTTGCACGCTAGTAACAAAAATTGGCAGTTCACCACTTTTGCTGCCTCTACCTCCTGCCACTGTCATTCCAAGGGATTCATGTGGTTCTTTTTTCACAGTAATGTGCTTTTCTTGGCATGCAATACACTGGGAAAGAATCTGCAAGAATACAACAAAAGATACTTTATTTAAAAAAACCTCAAAATTGATGCTTAGTAGGCTCCTAATCTATATTTAGGTAGCTAATGAGAGCAGCCTGATTTTCAAAGGTACAGAGAGCCTGCAGCCAGAGCCGTCCCTAGGGTATGGCAAATCGGGGCAGCCACCCTGGGCCCTGCACTTTTGGGGGCCCCGCAGCTGCCACCCCAAATAGCCGAACCCTAGGGACGGCTCTGTGTGCGTGTCGTGCGGGGGCATTAGGCTGGCGTGGGGGGTGGGGTTAGGGTGCGGGGGGCCAGGCTGGCCGGGGTTAGCAGGGGGCCTGGTGCTGGCAGCGGGGGTCAGGCCTGCACTCACCAGCAGGGGTTGTCCCGGGCCCCGAACCCTCCTTGAGACGGCCCTGCCTGCAGCCCCTATTGACTTCAATGGGAGCTACAGGTGATCAGCACTTTTGAAAAATCAAGCCATTTATTTAGGTACCCAAATATGAATTAGGAGTCTAACTTTAAGCATCCATTTTTTAAATCTCACTTCTAATTTACTTACAATATGCTTAGAGAGGATATCACTGCACTGGACATTGAAGATCTGCAATGCCAAGTTTTGGTGCTGCTGCACAAAATCCATATGTTCATATGGCTAGCATCATGGCACTGAGAAACACAGGACTTTGATGTTTAGGTGGAAGTCACACTTACTAAGTGCATCATTTTTGTAAGTATCATATGGACCAAACTCTACAGACTCAATGTGAAATGAAAAAGCATATGTACTTTAAGGGTCACAAGCCGACACA